AATTGCAGAATTGGATAATCAGTTGTCAGAAGTCAAGAGTAGTGATACAAACTTGAGTAGATCAGAATTGTCAAAAAATGGAGAAGCTCGGGAGTGCTAGTTGTGCCTCCCCCGAGCAAAATACCTTTAGGTGTGGAAGTTGGTGATATTGATAGCCTTGAAATGAAAGACACTTGTATTATTAACCATGTTACCCTCCACGACCCAAATTCTGACACAACACTCACTGCTCAAGCCCTAATTGACAGCGGTGCCACCCATGAAGCCTTGAACCTCAATTTTGTGAGAAAGTATAATCTTTGTACAACTCCCTTGCCACATTCCCACAAGGTAACCGGATTCAGTGGACACAAATCTCAAATTACCCACACTGGCGACTACCTCATCGACAACGACACCAACCCAACCACGTTCATCATCACATCCCTTAGAGACAAGTACGATCTGATCCTGGGTATGCCATGGATAAAACGCAACTATTCACGAATCAATTGGAATGAAAGCTGTTTGTCAAAAGCCTGTGGTCCGACTCTCAACATTGCTGTTGCAAAAGCAACATCGTCAAGGCCGGAAACCTCCTTGAAGGACCATACTTTGGAGCCTGATAGGCACGCTAGGCAACATGACGAGGGGGTAGAGATCGTAAAAGACTCATCAATGCCCCCGCAATGTGAGTATTTCTTGTCTCCTCTAAATTCAGTTAAAGAAACCAGTTGCAAGCTTAAACACCATTTAGAATTCCATCAGTCTATTGAAACAACTCCGACCATTAGCAAATCACAAGAAGAATCACCTGCAGTCATTCAAAGCATGACTTTGTCCAATCCGCCAAAATCCTCAGAAGACCACGAGATGGAACCAATGAGGAAAGCTAGGAAAAGTGACAAGGGGGTAGAGATCGTAAAAGACTCATTAATACCCCCGCAGAGTGAGTCTTTCAATGCCCAATCAAACAAGCCTTGTGAAACAATGAAAAAGCATTCCTCTCTTCTACAGGGAAAACTACCAAGATCAACTGCACGACTCGGTACGCTTACACCAACCAGACGCCTATACTCACAAGTACTCCCCAAACAGCAACCATCACTGTCTCATATCCAAGCCTCTACGACTTCTTGGAATGTATCTGCCAAGCTTAATGCAGAAATTGCATCGAAGGCTCCTGTCCAAACCGCAGCCGAACTAGTTCCTGAATGCTACCATGCTTACCTCGACATGTTTGAAAAGAGCAAATCAAGTGTTTTACCTCCTCACCGACCCTACGACTTTCGTGTCGACCTACTACCGGGAGCTACGCCTCAGGCTGGTAGAGTCATTCCGTTATCACCAAAAGAAAGTGAGGTATTAGACGAAATGCTTGAAAAAGGCCTAGAGAACGGCACGATTCGACGTACAACATCTCCATGGGCGGCACCAGTGCTATTCACTGGGAAAAAGGATGGAAGCCTAAGGCCTTGCTTTGACTATCGAAAACTCAACTCTGTTACGGTAAAAAATAGATATCCATTACCGTTGACGATGGAATTAATAGACAGTCTACTTCATGCAGATGAATTCACCAGTCTGGATATGAGAAATGGATACAACAACTTGCGAGTAAGGGAAGGTGATGAAGCTAAATTAGCCTTTATTTGCAATCAAGGTCAATTCAAACCTCTCACAATGCCATTTGGTCCCACCGGAGCGCCCGGATTTTTTCAATACTTCATTCAGGACATATTGAAAAGTCACATAGGCCGGAATGTAGCAGCGTACCAAGATGACATCCTTATTTATACAAGACCAGGGGTGGACCATAAAGCGGTTGTGAAAGAAGTATTGGACATCCTGAAAGCTCAAAATGTATGGCTCAAGCCTGAGAAATGCAAATTCTCAAAATCTGAAATTGCATACCTAGGACTGATAATTTCACGAAATCAAATCAGGATGGACGAAACAAAAGTCAAGGCAGTCACCGATTGGCCAACTCCAAAAAATCTCTCTGAGGTTCAGACGTTCATTGGATTCGCAAACTTCTACCGATGCTTCATTGATCAATTTTCAAAAATAGCTCGACCACTACATGAATTATCTCAAAAAGATACTACTTTTAACTGGACAGAGGAGCGTGAAAGATCCTTTCAGCTACTCAAAGATTCTTTCACTACAGCACCAATACTAAAGATCGCAGATCCGTACAAGCCTTTTGTACTGGAATGTGATTGTTCCGACTATGCGTTAGGAGCAGTATTGTCTCAAATTTCAGATGATGACGGTGAACTTCACCCAGTGGCTTTCCTCTCCCGGTCCCTGATCAAAGCAGAAAGAAATTATGAGATATTTGATAAAGAACTGCTCGCAGTGGTCAGCGCATTCAAGGAATGGAGACAGTATCTTGAAGGAAATCCGAACAGGCTCAGCGTAATCGTATATACAGATCACAAAAATCTTGAATCACTTATGTCAACCAAAGAACTCACAAGAAGACAAGCCCGATGGGCGGAGACGTTAGGAAGCTTTGATTTTGAGATCAGGTTTTGACCAGGTAAACAATCAACAAAACCGGATGCGCTATCAAGACGACCCAATTTGATGCCAAAAGAAGGTGAAAAATTATCATTCGGACGATTACTTAAACCAGAAAACCTTCCAGCAGATGCTTTTATTGATGAACTTGACTTAATAACATCATGGATAGTGGACGATGATATCATTCAAGATGTTCAGATTGATGAAATTGACAACAACTACAATTTAGGGGAAGGAAATTCAGAACTAGCATGGAATGATGCAAGAATATTAGACAAAATCAAAAACAAATCAAAATCCGACCCCAAGATTACTGAATTACTAAAGCTATGCGAGGAATCTTCATTCAAAAAGCTATTGAACGACCACAAGAACATTAATGGTGTTTTATATTTCAAAGGAAACATAGTAGTTCCAAATGATCACAATCTGAAGGTTCAAATACTGAAATCAAGGCATGATAGCCGACTAGCAGGTCATCCAGGCAGAATGAGAACTCTAGCATTAGTCAAGAGGGGGTACTACTGGAAATCAATGAAAGCCTTCATTAACAATTATGTAGACGGATGTCAATCGTGTCAAAGGATCAAATCAAGGACTGTAAAACCATTTGGTAGTCTAATGCCCCTTCCAATTCCAAGTGGACCGTGGGTAGACGTGTGTTATGACCTGATCACTGATTTACCTAATTCAGAAGGTTACGATAGTATATTAACGGTAGTTGACCGCCTTACGAAGATGGCTCACTTTATACCATGTAAGAAAACACTGTCATCGGAAGAACTAGCTGACTTAATGATTAAGCATGTCTGGAAACTTCATGGAACCCCACAGTCCATCACGTCGGACAGAGGTAACGTCTTTATATCAAAACTCACAAAAGAAAAAATGCACAAAAGATTGGGAATAACAACACAGTCTTCAACAGCTTACCATCCGCAGACAGACGGCCAATCTGAAATAACAAACAAAGCAGTTGAGCAGTACATCCGACACTTCACAAGCTACAAACAGGATGATTGGTGCACTCTTCTACCAATGGCTGAATTTTCCTACAACAACAACAACCACGTCTCCATTGGAATGTCACCATTCAAGGCCAATTACGGGTTTAATGTAAGTTTTACGGACATACCTACTGGAGATCAGTGTCTCCCTTCGGTAGAAGCACAAATGGATCAAATTACCAACATCCAAAAGGAACTCAAAGACACATTAATGTTAACGCAAGAAGCAATGATAAATCAACATGACAAGAAGGTACAAGCTACGCCTAATTGGAAGGAAGGGATGAAAGTATGGTTAAATAACAAAAACATAAGCACAACAAGACCAACCGCTAAGTTTTCACATCGCTGGCTTGGCCCTTACACTATACTGAAGCGCATGTCTGCTAATGCTTATAAAATAGAACTACCGAAATCAATGGAGAAAATTCACCCAGTGTTTCATGTAGGACTCTTAAGAAGATTTGAAGCCAGCAAGATAAAGAATCAAGATCAATCACCACCTGAACCAGTTATAATTGAAGATAATGAAGAATACGAAATAGCCGAAGTTCTAGACAAAAGAATCAAACGAGGAAAAATTGAATACTTGATAAGTTGGAAAGGATATGATGCTAACCATGATTCGTGGGAACCAGAAGCTTCAATGAGTAATGCGCAAGAACTTGTTAATGAATTCAATCTCAAATATCCTCAAGCAGAAACTCGATACCGTAGGGTACGGAGAAAGTCATGAGGGTTAAAGCTTTTTTCCCACTGGGTTTTTAATGCTAACCCGTGGAAAGATGCTAGCCCGTCAAGAGGGGGTTGAGTCATAAAAGGGGGAGTGGTGTTATGAGCCGTATAAGGCTACTCTACATATGCTTATACATGTTTGCTCTCATATCTTGTACGCTGTCGAGCACAGACTATAGTCCTCACGTTGCAATCTACTTAGTACTAGAAGGACCTCATTAGTCTTCTCTCATCTCTCATCATCCTATCGAGTCCTTACAGAATCACGGCTGTGCATCAGTTAAAATTCATGCCTCAAACACTTCCCTAAACGATCCGTGCGACCCTCTGTACAATACCGATTTACGGCACGGCTGTGGATGCTCTTAGTATACTATTACACTCATAACCCAAACCTAGTTGAAATAAATCATCCACTTTTTGATATACTCAAGACCTTTTCTTTCTTACAAATTCATAAAAGGAAGAAAAGAGAGGTTTAATAATTCTTGAGGAGAAAAATCAACTTTTTTTTTTCCCATAAGTTCATACTGTATCCATTGACTCCTTTTTTTTTTTTTTAAATCATCTCGACAAAAAAAAAACCCTAAATAAGTTTCATACCAATCCTAAAAAAAAGACCCTTCAAATACTTTCCTTAATCAATTATATGTAAAAGAAACCTCAACTTTTTCTTTTTGATTTTCTTTATGTTCATAAAAAATTTAATCAAATCCAAAAAATCTATTCAACAACAAGTAAACAAATCCAAAACCAAAAAAGACATTTTTTTGCTTTCATATTGGTAGATCTAAAAAAAACCTTTCAATAAATTTCAACAAAATAAAAATCAAAAAAGTATAGAACATCAAACATATAACATCACTTAAAGGACCTTTGATCATTTTTGTAAATCAAAACAATTCAAAGAAATCTAAACCATTTCTAAATTCATAAAAAACAAAAACAAAAATAAAAATAAAATAAAGATAAATCAAAAATAAAAAAAAACAAAGAAAGATGAAGAAAGATAAAGAGAAAGATAAAGAGAAGCATGACCGGGAAGACAATGACAAACAAAAACAAAAAAAAGAAGACGATCATCAAACGTTTCATAACCAAACATGAAAAAAACCATTCCAAAAAAAACAAAAAGACAAAAAAAAGAAACAAAGAAAAAGCCAAAAATCCAATCCAACCTCCAACCAATCAACCTCCAAACCACATCTCTCCTCAAACCACATCTTTCCTCAATCTACAAACATTCCATTCATTTTTTTCAAACCGAAACAAACTCAACAGACAACTCATCCCCAATCCCAATCAAAGCATTCCTAACAGAAGCCAAGAGTTCAATAGATTCAAATCCATTAATCGAATTAGACTTGATACCCAACTTAACAAACGTTACAAGTTTTTCTGTTTCAGTTAGTTTCCAAATCTTGATTGGATAAACTTTTTGGATCTTCTTTTCGTTTTCTTTAATCTAAATCCAAAAAAGAAAAAAGTAAGTTTTTTTTCGTTTGGGTTGGTTCGGTTTTTTGGGTGACTTTCTTTACAAGGTTTCATGAAAAATCAAAAAGGCAAAAAAAAACTTACAAAACTCAATCCGGTTTGTAAAGTATGTTTTTCTTTAATAAATTCATTTGAAGTTGGAGAAGTTTGTAATAAGACCTTACCCATTATAATAGATTCTTGTAAACCTAAAGAAATAAATGAAAAGACTTCTAATAAACCAATAAGTCTACCGATAGCTACTTGTTGAAGTCTACCAAAGAAAACCAAAAAAAAACCAAGAAAAACCAAAAAAAAACCAAAAAAAAATGAACACGAAAAAATTAGTTGTGGTTTTTTTGGAGGTTTTTTTGGAAGGGAAAATGGGAAAAAACTTAACTGGTTTGAAAAACTTTGAGAAAGTAATAAACCAAAAGAAAATCCAATCGAATATAACCTTCTATACCCACCCCCCACATCATCAGGCAACACGATTGCCGAACCCGCCACACTTAAGATCGACAAGACTAACAAGACTTGACTATCCAAACCAAAAGATCACAAAAAGTACTCAGGATCCAAAAAAAAGAAGGGAAATCAAAGTTTTTTTGGGATTAGGATTAGGTTCGACTTACTTGATGATTTCGGGATGGTCATGATGAACATGTGAATGGTTCAAGACTACGTGTTCGATAGATTCTTTACACACATACATTGCAGCAAACAATAAATAAATCGATCTAGTGAACCTAGCCAGCGTAGAAAACCGAGCAGTTCTAATACCCCCCAAAGAAAAAGAAAAATCAAAATCAAAAGCAAAAGAGCAAGAAAAAGCAGATCAGTGGAATTGACAAAAAGAGGACAAGAAGAGAGAACTTACCCAAATGGATATCTCAAGTCTTGAATTTGTTGAGATTGATTAAAAAGAAAAGCAAGATAAATATCCCAAGATAAGCCTAAAGCTTCACATATTACCAAATAACCAATTCCAATCATAGCCACATCCCCAGTGATCCAAAGTCTAAAGCCAATTAAGAAACTCAAGATAGTCAAAAGGATTGGGAAAGGTTGAAGACCTGATTTTAAGATTGATGAACGTTTTCGATGACCTGGTAGGTGTTGGGTTTGGTGGTGATGATGATGAGGGTGGTGGTGGGATCGGGTGGAGGATGGGACTGGTCTGGGGATCGAGGCTGGGGTGGGTGGACATGGTGAGTGTTGAGGGTTAGATAAGAAAGGAAAAAAACTAATCCAATCCAATTGTCAGTTCAAGAAGCTCTGATGAAGAGAGAAAAAGATGAACTCAACTTGTGAGATAATGAATGACGATGATGATGACCTCTACGACCTTTTGTTTGAGAAGAAGTATTAGTAGGCGATTTAAAATTAAATGAACTAGAACTACTTGGGGTCTGATCTGCATTCGATGAATTTAAAGAACCTTGATCTTGGTTTGGGATTTCAATCACTTGAGTAGGAGTAAGAGGTGAATGAATCTTATGATGATGATGATGATTCAAAAACGATTCTTGACCTGGTCTTGGAAAGAAAACCGATAAGTTACGTGAATGAACTCTTGAATGTCTTCTTTGATGTTGTTTGTCTTGTGGTGATTGGTTTGGAAAATTAAAATCGAGATTCGAATCTGATTGTAAGGGTAAGAAGATATCATCTGATTCATTGGTGTTAGGAACTTTTAGGGATGTAGGTGAATCTGATGATGATTTGATTTTGATAGGATTTGATGAAGATGAAGATGAAGAAGTAGTTGAAGAGATTGAAGAAGAAGAAGATGATGAGGTGATCAGTGATACTTCATGATCTGGTCTGATGTTAGCACCAATCAAGTTTAATGGAGTAGGAGGAGTAGGAGTAGGAGTAGTAGTAGTAGATGATGGATGATGATTGATGACAGCTGAGATTCTTTTGATAGATGAATCTGAGTTTGAATGTTGATGTTGATTGTTGGATTGGTTCATGTTGTTGTTGTTGTTGTTTTGGAGTTAGATCGATTTGAAGTGATGAAAGCTAGACTAATAAGATTTTATTGGAATGTTCTTTTTCAGTAAAACCTTTTAAAAAGTTGATGATGGTCTACTTGATGAACTTTTTAAGAATTTATCAGAATCAATCAATTTCCAAATCAAACAGTAGTAGTGATCGTACTCTTTCTCTAACTCAATCTCAATTTGATATTTCGAAATTCAACTCATCACCTCTGCGGTTCTCCTTTCAATTTCAATTCTAATTCTATCATCTCAACTACATTTATACTGTATGTAGTTTTCATACAAAATAACGTACTTCTTCTCTTTTTCCCAGCCAAGAGAAAAGCCTTGGAAAGTTGAAACTTCGGAAAATTTAAAATACTGCATGCCAGTACAATTTAAAAAACGAGCACATGCCAGTCCCGGTACACGCAGCCCGACGCAGCGGTTGCTACAACTGAGTTCTCATCTGTATATTTATGACACAAGAGCATTCAGTACATAACAAAACATTCAGGATTGAATACATACCTTACCAGACCAATACTTTGTCTGTACATATTCATATGACCTTATCATATCCACCAATACTTCTATCTCTCCTCCTATTCCCCCACTCAATCATTCATGGGATTAGGGCTATGACCCAGCCACAAAGCTTCAGGGCTGGCCCCAGATAATAAAAAAACAATTAGGCTGATCAAGGCAGGCCCTGAATTTTGGGACTTGGGGCTAAGCAGGGCTATGCTCAAATCAAAGCACAACATAGGGCTGGACAAGGGAGTTTTTTTTGGCTTGTATTACAATTCTACATGTATAATATAGTCTTCAAACAAGACTTTGATTCTAGATGTACAGGAATCTCATCATAGTATCAAAGTTCATAAAGAATGTTTCATTTGGAAATCCACTCTCTTTTTGGTGATATCACCAGGGGGGAGATTATTAGAGTCTCAAAGTTATACTGACATGTTTGTCCACCGGGAAGCTTTTTGTTACAAAGCACAATGGGTGTGTTGGGATCATCTTGAGTAGAAAGACAGCTGTTGACAAAACAACCGGCCTTGGCTCCACAGACATTTTTCATTATACCATTGTTTTCTTCTTGGGCGAAATATTGCCAAACCCATGAAGATCGACCAGTCATGGTGATTTCCATAGCAACTTCTGAGATTGAGTCAGATGGTGCAATACTGTTTGCAGGAGTGCTGGACATTGAATTAGCAGCTGATGAACAGAGGACTTGAGTCAATAAGCAGGTGGTGGGGTATTGGGCATCTTATAGTTGTAGGTAACGCATTATTTACTGATGGGAATGTTATGTTTGATAGGCTGTGTAACAGGAAATGTTTGTAATGTCGGACCAGGTTTTGATTTGTTATATCATCATCAGGATGATTGACATCATCTTGTGTTGACCGATATTACCATTTCTAGTTTACCACATCCTATCAATTTCTCTTTTCAAAAATCTCTTCATCATCAAAGAAGTGTTTTCATTTAGTTATTATCAATTTCAAAACTCTTGAAATAGTGGTAAACAGGTAATGTCTAGCAATGTCCCAAGCTATGACATTGCTGCAAGGATTACATCCAAATTGGCAGATATTGAGACGAGTTATCAAGATGCAGGTGGTTCCTCCAATATATCAATGGGGGAAATCCAAAGCCAATTTGTTGAAGTCTTACCGTTCCATTCAAAGAATTGGTATAGACACTGGTGCAATTTTGCAATTATATTGGTCAAAATGGACAAAGATGCAGGAAGGCCGATATTCAAAAACGTCCTTCCTATTCCAACTGGTACTCCAAGATCGAATAACACCAAAGTTTTCATTTTTGACCCAGCGGAGAATCCCATTTACCCTCCTGACCTTTCACGGCCTGTATCTCCAACATCTAGAGAGCTCCCTTTTTCCGGTTCATCTACTTCTGGTGGACAAGAATCAGGAGCATCTGCTGCTCCTATTGTACCTTTGAATGTACCTCCGATTTTGTCAAGTGACAAAAGAATTGCTGCCTTATCTAACCAAAACAAAGATAATCAAACCCAACTCAATTCTTTACTCTCATTACATGAATCTAATGAGAAGGGAAAACAGAAAAGACATCACAAGAGGAAAGACAATTCATCCAACTCATCCTCTTCCAATTCTTTGACTAAGTCTGAGAAGAATGCTAAAAAATATGCCTTTATCTTGAAAAAGAAAGTGGTCAATGTTCCTACAGGAAATTTTACCCCGGGTGCATTACTATTTGCTGCTGATGTTAAAGGATATGATAATAGTATTGCTCAAGCTGTCAAATACTTCAACAATTTAGCAAAACCTCCAGATTTTCCGGATGTGCTTACAAAAGATCTTCTACTGGGAAAGTTTATCAACGTTTGACAGATCAAAGGCAAACTCCTCAACCCAAAAAAAGGTGATGTGTCCTACACAGCTTCTGGAAAAGAAAAACGTTTGGAAATATTGAAGAATCTTACTCTGGAAATCATTGATCTGGCAGAATGGCTGTACTATTTTGGTATACTCAAGAAAGCAATCAAAGCAGCTTTCCCAGATTGCAAACCCTTTATTTCAGAGTATGGTAAATATATAAAGTCTCGGTTCTGGTCAGCAGGTGTCATGGCACAATGGAGAAACATCGCTGGTTATGACGCTGCTTTTCAAAGTCAAGTGGCAAACCAGAAGTACATCTGTTTTGCGGATTGGGATCACAAGGATTGTGAAGTCCTCAAGACACAATTATTTGGAAGTGCTTATTCACAGCATAGCTTTGGTCCTGCTGTTCCTTTCCATCCTGTTGCTTCTAGTTAGTATTTTCTTTATAGTTTGAAGGAAGGTTTAAGTTCTAATGTGGTCTTTCTAGCTTCCTCTGCGTGTTTGTTTAATCAAAACGTGTCAAGGCAGCAATCTAGTTTTGTACCAAGCACTTCAGCACAAAGATCTTTTGATCCTGATAAGTACCATTCTTGGTTTAAACACCATGAGAAATATCCGATTGAAGATGCTGCAAAGACTCCTAAATCCAATGAACAATTTTGTTTCAGTTGGAACAAAACAGGAGTCTGTGCCATTGGTCCTTCATGCAAGCGCCTTCACTTTTGCATAGGTTTTACTTATCATTTTCCCTGTTATAAAGTAGGTTGTGTTAGTATTGTTACTAATTTTTGAATAGGAATTACAGAACGTCCTGGGATGTCATGCAAAACATTTTGGACGTGATCACTCCTGAAGAATACTCTTCAGAAAAATACTTACGCGGTTACCAATGGGACGGATCTTCTCCAAAGGGTTTTTCTGCGGCAATTGAATTGAGTCTTACGGCAGAACCTTTTCCAGATGTGCCTTCAGTCAAAGATGACCCAGATGCTGCGTTCAACCTCAAGCAATACAATTATCTTTTCAAAATCAAAACCCCATATAATATTGATAAAATAGAAGACTTATTGAAAACTCATCCTAATCAACCATTTGTGTGTTCTGTAATCAAAGGTCTTAAAGAAGGTTTTTGGCCGTCTTTGTCCATTCCTTCCTCAGATATTATTGACGTTCCAAATCACCAGACGTGTTTTGACAATCAACAACTGTTAGAGGATCAATGTGAGGAGGAAATCAGTAAGGAAAGGTATTCAGAAGAATTTTCTATGCTACTTCCTGGAATGCGGGTGATCTCTTTGTTAATGACATCTAAAAAAGATTTGAAGAAGATGAGGGTTTGTTCTAATATGAGTTTTGGCTGTCCGTCTCCTAACAATTTGGTGACAAGAACAAGATTTGGGTTTCTTATGATTCTTTGAAGTCATTTGCGCCGTATTTAATGGAAGTCAAGAGAAAGAAGGGTAAAGTGATAGTGTACAAATCAGATGTTGAGGGAGATTTTAGAACACTTCCAGCCCATCCTCAATACCAAGTTTGACAAATCCTTAGGATCAGAAGAAACGGTAAACTCAGAGTCAACCATAATCTTACATTTGGTTCAGCTGCTTCTCCCCATCTTTGGTGTGGTTTCTTCTTGTTAATCCTTTGGATTCTCCAAGAAATTTTTACCATTCATTACTTAAACAGTATGATGAATGATATTTGGTCGGTGGCCAATGCTAAAGACTTTATAACTTTCAAAGAACATAGAATTCCGGGTCCTCAAGCTAAACTCCTCATGGTGTTTGATATCCTTGGTGTGCCTTGGGTTTGGAAGAAGCAAGTCTTTGGTCCTGCGTTAGAAGTGATTGAGCATTTATTTGGAACCTGATAAGAAGACATTAATGAACGAGGCCATGAAGAAATTAGTGGCAACTCCTAATCATTCACTTAGAGATTGGCAATCAATGCAAGGGTGGATTTCATGGGTATTTAATTCTATGCCATGGGAAGATTTGCGTTGCGGAGTTTGTATGAAAAAACAGCGGGTAAAATTGAACGTTTTTCTCATATCCATCTCAATAAAGAGAATCAGGATGATCTTAGGTGGTTGATTAATTACTTCAAAAATAGCAATGGTGTCCTGATTCTGAAGTTGGCAAAATGGTCGGTGTTTCAGGCTGATTCTTCTTACTTTTGCAATGCATGTCAGTTTGGAATTGGGGTTTGGGAACCCAGAATGAAATTAGCATTTTGCTTGCCTCTTCCACCTCCAATGCGTAACATCTTTTGGGCGGAACTGTTGGCCTTTATGGCGGCAATTGACCTGGGCAATGATGCTTGTTCTAAAAGAATATATGTGCATACTGACAATAAATTGGTTTTTCATTTATTCAACTCTCATCAACCTAATCAACTTGTCCGGCCTTTATTTTGTCATGTGGTTAAACGTTTGGTCGCGTCTGAAGCAGAAGTAAAAGTTGCTCATATACCTGGTCTTCAGAATTTTTGTGCTGATTTACTGTTGCAAAACCATATCATCAAAGTAAAAAGAGATTATACTCCTGTGCTAACTTCTCTCCTTGACATTGACTCTAATTCATTATCCGGTGGGACTGAAGTCAATCT